TTAATATTTTAATTTTAATAATTTCCATTTCAAAGTTTGTTATTTTCCCATTTCCGCAGTTCTGCTGTTTTTGCGTATCTACACCAAGGTGCGAATGCAGCAATTTTAAAGATACATTTAAGAATTTCAGTTGGTAATGTAGAAGACCAAAACGACGATTGAAAATTTCTCATTCATTACATTCATTTTCGAGGTCGCGTCGTCGCCGGTGTGGTGAGTACAAAGTTCGCCAGCGAACAGGAATTTGGGACATATCGCAAAAGTACATAGTCTGTCTGCAAATTAAAATCTCTCACGTCGACTCCTTATTCCGTTTTGCATGCGGAACAGCGGACGAAACGTACAGAAAATGGAAAAATGCGCCGAATTAAAGTTTTCAATTTATCTACTTTCTCGAAAATCTTCGCTTCTTTATTCCGCGCTGAATAGTTGGAAATTTTTATGAGCAAAGATTCGAGTCGTGACAATAATTCAGATTCGTTGTAATTTACTTTTTAGGACTAGCTGAGGAACGACAAACAATTCACATAGAAAAAAAAGACTTTTTCCATTGGTTCGCAATATCATCACCATCATGTTTTATTAGGCACAATCTTTAAAAAGTATAGTTTTATATCAACGAAATGCTACAAAACTAAACGGGTGGTGCTCTTCCCGAAGAAGTAGTCGGACTCAGATACACTTATGAAATATTATTAATATTAACAGAAAAAGTACATGAACAAACCTAAAGTACACAATTTAAATGGATGCAGATTAAACTTATATAGTAATATAGCTTTTACTTGTAACCGTCCTCGTGAATCTATTTTTAATTGTTTAAAAATAACAACAATAATAAATACAATTGTTATAATCAATAAACAATTAAAAAAGGTAGCTTAGATCACTTCCGATAATCCCTTTTTCATGTATCTAAAATCTCATCGAAATTAATTCAGTTTATTCCAAGATTGGTACATACAGACAGACAAAACATTCTTTTTAATGGTGAAATCGTCGTTTGCGCCATAATAGCAACTAATCCGTATGAGCTTAACAAAGACAGTTAATACGTTAATATTACAATCAAACACTTCAGTTTTAAATATATACAATTAAGGTCAAAACTTGCTTACGTGGTTCCTTGCTAAAGCGTACTTGGTTTAACCAATTTCATTTTCATTTAACTTCAAAATCAGAGAATTTGTTCGAAGGAGACACGATCTTTATAGATTTTTACAAACTCCAACCATCCGGAGGATACTGAGCACAAAGTCTTCCAAAAAAGGAAGCTAAAAATATATCTTAACTCTATGAGTACCTTCGGTGAATTCCAACCAGTCCCAAATACGTAACTGAACATCGCCTTTTAAAATATATGATTCGTAGATTCACTAGTTTCTCAACCAAATTCTCTACTGACCTCCTAAGCAACATGCCGATGATTTCTTTAATAAATGTTGAAAAGTAATTTATTCCACCTAAAACTACATCCTTGAGTATATCTATAGTAGTTAGATTTTACTTTAAGTAAACTGGAAGCGCTATTGACAAAATAGAATTGTATTAAAATAAATAAAAGTAAAGCAAAAATACTGGCATGGAAGGGAAGAAAAAGTAGGGAAAGAACGAATATAAAAATAGGAGACGAAAGATTAAAAGAAGTGGCTGATTTTAGGTATCTAGAAAGTCAGATAAGTCAGGACGGAAGGAGTAGTAGGGATATAAAGCAGAGGATAGCGCAGGATAGAGTCGCCTTCAATAAAAAGAAGTCATTTAGAAATTCGAAAAAGATTTTTAAAGGTGAATGTTTGAAGCGCGGCGATGTAGGGGTGCGAAACGTAGACGGTGGGCGAGGCGGAAAAGAAAATGTTAAAAGCGTTCGAAATGTGGTGTTAATGGCGAATGATGAGGATACCATGCATAGAAAAGGTTAGAAATGGAGAGGTATTAGAAAGAATAGGAGAACAAAGGACACTCTATGGAAGTCAATAAGAAGTAGGACACCATCTTAGGCATGAAAGAGGAGTAGAGGTAGACCTAGATTAGATTGCTGTTCGCAGATAGTTAAGGATGTGGAGTGTTCTTGTTTCAGGGAAATGGGAAGATTAGCCCAGGATAGGAAGGACTGGAGTTGCGTGTCCAACCAGTCTTAGGACTGACGACCTTTTAATGATGAGAGATGCACCGGATAGTGATTTTGCCAGGTACCGGTCACCTTGCAGGCTGTTAGTGTTTATGAACATTATACGCTCGTTTTAATGGTGTCAACTTGAGTTCTAGTTGAAAATCCGTCAAGCAAGAATTAAAATTTCATTGATTTACTGTATAATCAAAACCTGATATATTCTTGCTCACGAGAAAAAATTATATTGTAATAACAAATAACTTAGTGTAGCAATTAATTAGTAATAGAAATTAGGACAAACGACCTATCGCAATACAACCTTAATTATCAATTTTCATTGGGTAGGTTTTTTGTTATACTTATTAAATTATTATTGCTGGTGTTGGTTTTCTCTTTTTCCTCTGGTAGAATTACTAGGCACTGCCTGGTACTCGGTGTCATTTTTCCATATGCGGCCGGGTCCTAAAATAAGTGTCAGACACTGGATCCAAACCAACATGTCAATAAATTTTTGATTTTCAACCAAATAAGACATTTTAATCTTCATCTGATTGCAGAATATCCAATCTCAACTCTGCTTTCCTTTCCTTATGCCTGGAACTATACATATGTAGCGTCATATTATATAGTAATTTCTACTTATGAGACACCTTTGTTAAAAATAACAACCACAGCCTTTTCCCGAAGTCAATTCCTTGCAGCTCAGTCTGCTACATACATATTCACACGTCAGGATACTTGTTATGTTTCATGCGTCCTCTTGTCAAATACTACTAATACGATAAGATTAGCGGCATCACACAAATATTTCCATAAGAAAAATCACATTTTCATCAAATAGTTTACAACTGACATTCACAAGTCATTTTGCTAGATCTGAACTATATTTTTGCCTTTGTAATTTTCTTATAAGTAAGTACTTATTTGTATTGGGATCCGTCAAATGGGAGGAGCCTAAAAACATGGCGCCGATTAGGGAAAATTTATCGTAGTTCCTATAGTGTACCGTGCAATTTCCAAGTTTTTAAATTACGATAAAATGATAAGTATTGACACAATATGTGATTGGGCTGACACAAAGCCTCGGAAAGGAAATTTCGTTGAAGGTGAGCGTGTTTTTAATGCCAATCACATTATAAAATTCGGAAATAACAAATCCGGAAGCTAGCCTTCAAATTCCGTCAAGTTTACTGCCTACTTTTTACAAACTTCGGATTTAAAAAGTGATTCACGTTATATAATTGGTGAGGTGATTCTGGGTGATTTAAGCAATATCATATCAATGACTTGCACGTGCAAAGCCGATTTAAGAGAACGTTGCAAACACATTATTGCAACTTTGTTGTATTGCAGCAGGTAGGTTCTTAACCTCAAAATACTTATATCGTATCATTAGAATTGTGTTAAAACAATTACACAGGAATAAATAATGCTGATGGTAAATACTTCCTGAAATATAATCATGTGCATTAAAATGACGTGAACAAATTTTTATTCCGGAATTCACTTCTTTGATACCTACTGCTTTCATCCAAGCTTCTATTAGTTTACTTTTTTCTCTAATTTTCCGAATATATTTTTTACATATATAAAACGGTTAGTTTTTATTGGAAAGTAGTTAATGTAGGTGAAGAGTGAAGATCTATGTCTGAAGTGCTATTGCAGCTTTTCACTGAACATATTAACTTTTTATTTGATTTAACTTTAGAAGAAAACTTCGTCGACTCCATCATCAAAAAAATTTTTACTTTTTTAACGTGTTTTATTATTTTAATAAACAATTTTACAATTTGCGTGCACAGTTCCTATGTAAATTTTTCCCTCATTCGAGTTATAAATTTTGCCACCATATGGTGTATGCCCATTTGACGGATCCCAATAGGTGTATTAATCTTCTTAATGTAGCTGATGGAGAATGAATTGGTTTCTTTTCGTGGAATCGAACAATTACAGTGGAACAACACTTCCGATACAGTGCCCGTTGATTTGTGGTCGTCTTCGTAGCGTCTCATTTTCGATTCAAATCATCATTAGCCAAAGCCGTCGGTCGCCGCGACAACAACAGTGGTGGTTTTGCGGCGCTGTCGGTGGTTAGCATTGTTCAAAATCACCCGCTGAGTTACAGGCCCGTCGGCTCCATAAATAATCAGCGGCTCCGTTTTTCCGCCGAAGAGCTTTCATGTCCAATTTATTCGAGAAAGGAAGAAGGCGCATGGTTGGCGATCCCGCGAAATAATAAAACAGCCCCCAACCAATCGGAGTCGTCGCGTTGGTCTAAGTATTGGAGAACGTTGCGCCTGAAATTTTCACTAGCTAGTACTCGTGGTGCAACGGTTCGGGGTAGTTGATAACGTATCGGCGCTCTTTCTACCACCTACGAAGACGCGACGAAGCTGGGTAGGTTAATGCCGAATCATATGATAGGTAAAATGATGAACTAGATGTGATCGTGGTACTCCGATGGCTTTCGGCACTTAGTTGCGTTTGTAGTGGCATTTGGAGGCGCTTATCAGAAAGCACGTGGATGCTCTTTCAGTAGACATGTGCTGACGCCTACGAGATGAACATCCTTGCTAGCCTTTTAATCCTGATCGGATTTTTCTTCTGCAAAGGTTCGTTTGACTTTTGATTTTTCTTTTTGTGAAGACCAAACGTGTGAAATAATGATTTGGCATTAATGTTGATACCATTTCTTTTGTGCAACTTTAATATTGTAGTTCAACGGTGAAATTTAAATTCCTAACAAGAAGCGCATTCGTACAACTTTTTTTTTGGATTAGACTATAAAAAAATTATGAATAAATAATTTTACCTTTTGTCATTTTACATTGTACCTACAGTTTGACATAAAAATGTATAAAACATACGTGCGTTTAAAAAAAATAAATTATCAAAATTACATCTGAAAAAACAATTTCAGCCGAAAAATATTTTTGGTCGTCTTTTATAAAAGTAATTTTTACAAAGCCGTTACATAAGAAAATAAATCATTTGTAAAGAATCTTAATATAATAATGTGTATGTACCTAACGTAAGTCACACTCTATGGCAATAGATGTCACCTGTTTTAACCGGTGCGAGTAGATATATTTAATAAATGTATGAGAAAATTTTACTCCTTCTTTAATATTCATGACCATGTAGTAATTAATCTATTTGTCTAACAATTGCATCGTGATCTTGATTTTTTTATAATGCAGTAGAAACTGATATAAATACGCGTGATATTTATGTTTGTTTTTGTTGAATTTGTGTAACTGCCTATGTATATTACATAATAAGTCTCTGTTTCTATCAAAGGTTATCAAACTATGTAACGTTTAAATCCGTTGCAAAAACAAATGCAAAATGCACTTATATTGAAACAAAAAATAGTTATCATGTCAAAAAAGAGAACCCTTACAGGATAAAAAACAGTGTGAACCACGGAAAGAGAAATAAGGGACTATAATTCATACAATGAAGGTTTATGAAAGAAAAGGTGTATCTACTTAAAAATGAACTTTTATTACTTGATTAAGTCATTAAACTGAACCTGACATGTTAAAATTATAATTTTGCTTTTGATAGACGGAAAATCGATTCATTAAAAATAATGATCATAAATAACGATTAAGTCGAACGAGCGAACGCTGGGGATTAATTTACAATTAATTTCACTAAAATTATTTATCCCCTCTGTAAACTAGCCGTTAATCACGTTTTAAAAATTACAATATCGTTATTAATGTTACGGAATTAAATGCAATTAAATATCTACATACATTTCAATTGTATACCTACCGTTGCTATAATCTGTAAGTAATTGTTATTGAAATGACTTAAATAAATAACGCTCTTTAATAAACCATTAGTTGCGATTTATCGCTTTTTCGTTTAACTTGTCAATTAGAGTAGGAAAGCATGTATAACTTATTGAATGAACTGGTGCAACTTGGATCATTTTTCCCGTGCGCTCTGCACATATTCATCATAAGGTCGTCAGTCCTAAGACTGGTTGGACGCGCACCTCCACACTTTCCTATCCTGAGCTAATCTTCGCTTATCCCTAAAACTACAACATCCCACATTCTTAACTATTTGCGTACAGTAATCTAATCTAGGTCTACCTCTCCTGTTAACTCCTGTTTCTGTCTCTAATATGTCTCTGACTAGACCTTCATGTCTGAGAAGGTGTCCTACTAACCTATCTCGCCTATTTTTTATTAACTTCCATGCATAGAGTCCTCTGTTCTTCCATTCTTTCTAATACCTCTTCATTTCTGTTTTGTTTAGATTATTATTGAGAAGGGGAAATTTTCAAAAGATACCCCCTGAACATACTAAATATACCACAGAATGTCTTTATATACAACATTCACAGTTTTTTTGTCATTAGACAATACAAACCGGCCTCCCGGCCGGTACCGCCGCAACCGCTATGTCCCTGCATTTTAAATCTGTAATATCTTCGAAAATATTCATTTAAATTACATGCTGTAAAGGGTCATATTGATCTATATTAAATACACAATGTATTTAAGGTACTTAATTGGATAAAAATTAATGCTATATTGCTTACAATCGCTTCGTAAATAAGTCATTATTTCTCATAAAAAGTAAAGGATAAAAATAGTTATTGTGGGTTATCCCTAAGAGATAGACATCGCGGACTTTTTTGTAGACCCTTTTAAGATGTACAATATTGTAGTACATTATTTTCATTTAGGGCATTTTACACATTTTCTGTCGTCATTCTAAATAAATATCCGAAAAGTTCAACTTTCTACAGTTTCGTCCACGGCTAACACCTGCCTGATGGACAAACAGTCTAACACTCATATAGAAGAAGAATATTGTATATGACCGTTTATCTACGCATTTCCTAAAATGAACCTAAAAGTTTGTTTTGTTCTTAAGAATATTTTACTTTGATAAATCGTCTAGGTATACAATCCGACTTATGTTTTTGAAGTGCATCGACGTATTCACGTCCAGAAAAATTAGAACAATGTAAAGCTGTATTTATATGCATTCGTAAGTTGCAATAAATCAAAAAGTGTAACTGCAGCTCGGCATAAGAACTACTGTTGTTGCCGCCGGTTCCGTATCTGTATTTCCAATTTGCCTGCGGCATGACAAGCCAAGACATTTGCCTGAGATATGTTTTGTTTAAGTTTGCCTCTGATGGAAAACTCCTACGGTTGCTAAACATATTCGTGCATTCAAATACAAAACAAAGGCCGTGCAGACGTTCACGTAGAAGTAACAGAAGCTGCCATCATCCTAAATCAGGAAATAGGCTTTTTGTATATTCTTAATCACGGTAGATGCATCGTATTTATACTTCAACAAAAATAGTAAGGAATAAATAAAGTTACGAAAATTACGTAAACGACCAGAAAGAAAACTAGGGAGGGACAACATAGAAACAAGAATTAGTTCTTAATCTTTTTTCCTTTCCTTTCAGTGGCAATTTATGAAGTTTAGGAGATTTTCTTTTAAATTATACGGAGCATCGCGTGCGGTCAAAATTCGATCACTTTGCGCCGTAACTAGGATTTAATTTGGTGGAAAGGGGCAGTTGGATATCGATTTATAATTGTACTTGATTTTTTTTGTAGAAACACGGTTACCACTTCTTAGTGTTGGATAGGAGATGTTATAATTCGATATACCGTGTCTCAGTGTATCAGATTTGCGTAAAATATTAATTCACTGTCAAAAAAAATTTTCTTGTTAGATCCTGTATTTTTATCAATTAATAAATGAATTGTAAGATAGTGTATTTAGTGATAAGCAAAGCAAGGCCATCAAGACTAATGTTGATATTGGTCTTGTCATGCTTATTTGGTCTTGGTTTTCGTCTTGCTCATTTAATCTGATATTTACGTGTCTTTTTAATAATTTAAAGTTTCTTTTTTTTATGTTTAGTGTTAAAATATAGCAAATCAAACTGAAAATTTCAAATACTAAAAATGTTTTGTTCCAAGAAAAGAATATATTAAAGTTGCTTGGAATAGTTTAGCTCATAAATCCACCGGAAGTAATAATTTTTCTTTTAGTCTTTAATCTTTAGCTTTATTAAAGAAAGTAGTAGTAATGTAATTATTATACGTGTATATTATCATGTAGTCATCTTTAATAAAATAGACTACTAATTTTCCCGTTGTCAGTTAACTGAGCAAGAAACCACCTCCCCTTGCCGCAAGGCGTTGTTATCTATTATATATACTCATATTATATAAGAAAATATGTAATAACATTATAATCATCCGCATGTGACACTTGCTATTTTTATTTTCTCCGTCTATCTCAGCTCAAATTTACAATTTATTTTTAAGGGCTAGAAAACCTTTCCGGCTGAATTAACCACTGTAATTAACAAAAACTCAATTTACAACCGCCAGTTTCAGATTAAGTTATAAGACAGGATAAAAAACAGTGTGA